TTAATTTAATAGGCCAAACAAGGCTGTTATGTGATGTCCACATCAGATTTTTTTAAATGTCATTTTAGGTAAAATTACAAGTATGCCCAGGACACTCCTTCATTTAAGCTACTCCTTATCCTTCATTTAAGCTAGAGTTTTGAGTTAAAATTGTTTGTTCTTAGCTCAATCCAGCTTATGTTTCTTTTTTTAATTAATCCGTGAAATTAATTGCATAATATATGTAAACCTCGATAAATTTATAAGGAACATTTTAATAAAGAGACGCCAAAGAATGCAACTGAGCGCCCCCTGAGATAACCACTGACCTGACTTTGTTGTAAAAGTCTTACAGTGTTAATAGTCATCTTGGCAGAAGGGAATATTTCCTCCGTGTAAAAATATAATATAAATATTACATGGGCATACAAGGCCTGTGTATAAGCATATATATGTTAATTACAAACATTTTCTTGTACAAGTTACATGTGATAGTTACATAAAATCATGACAGTTATGTATGCATTTAAATCTATTTAATCTATTTAATTTATTTAATCTATTTAATTTATCTGAATTCATATTTACAATACTTTTACTGAGATAATCAAAGTAAACTTGTAATTCATTTACACATTGACTGGATTTTCAATATCATTTTAAACCGCTTTACAATATTATTTTTATCAAGTACATACGTACTGGATATTAATATGCTTACGTTACAATAGTTTTACTCTTACAGTCCTGTTACTATTCTAAAAGAATGCAACTGTATTTAGTGGAGTACAATTTCAAAATATTACAATAAATTATTGAAAAGAATGTATGGTCTGAAAAATAAAAACTATAAAAGAGACTACTTGCTTTGTTTACGAATATAACAGTTGGAAATGTGGTCTTCATTCCTAGCCACGAATTTTGCAAATCGTTTGAGGAGGTGTTTGTGGCCTTCCCTGGAGAAATGTTTAGGTTTAGGCGCAAAGAGGCAAGCAATGATTATTCGAACTCATTTGAATTATTGAAACGTTCTTTGTGATACCAGAAAATGCTGCATAAGCCGGAACTGACAATAATCATTAGTGTAAATGGTTGGAGAAGTGCTATATGTTTCAAAATTAGCCAATAAAATCATATTCTTGATACATTTTACTCTAAGTGTTTGTCGCCTCCTTGCATCTTGTAGGACGGTGTGTTGTGATTAAGCAATGCTGGTTATTTAAAATGGTAAATTCATATACAGTTCGTTAAAATGACAATAGTATACAATATAATGTATTTCTCCCCCTTCCCTAGCGTGCCTTCGTGGTGTAACGGTAGCATGCTGGGCCGGTATTCCAGAGGTCCGTGGTTCGTTTCCCGGCGAAGGTGGTTGCTAATTTTTCATCTCTCCGGCTTCCAAAAATATACCTAATGTCTCTACAACATCAGCGGTGATATCTGTGTTGTTCGGCAGCATTTCAGAATAAACAAGTTCCCAACATATTGTAGCGAAAATCGCTCTTTTCAACCGAGCTCCTCATAGCTTAGCGGAGAAGGCGCAGAACTCGAAACCTGAAAGTACCGGGTTCGAAGCCCATCAACGGCAAGATGCCCGATAATTGGTTTTTATGTAAATATCCTTGTTGTTAATGTTATCTTATTTATGTAAATTTCCTTTTATTTCTTCCAGAATATTCCAAGTCTGGAATGTTTCAGCATGTTCACCAGCTGTATATAAGTAGCTCTTCATTCAGTTCTAGTTAATAAAAAGTCTTGAGTTTAGACTTGTACTTGCCTGTTCATTTGTAGGATCCCCTCATCTACGCGACAATATCACTAAACTGAAAACAGAATATTACATGCTTTCAAGCATTGTTCTGAGCATATCAAAGACAACGCAGATGAAGGGCAGCTTCCGGCCTTAGCCTATGTTAAGAGGTTATCACACAAGGCTACAGTCCTTGCCAACGGGACTTTTCTGAGAAACGAGATTCTGGTAGAAACGAGATGGTAAAAAACTCTGATGTGGACATCACATAACAGCCTTGTTTGGCCTATTAAATTAAAATCTGGTAGCACAGATTTCAACGGGAGGATTCCTAGAAAAAAGAGCCCCGCTTGAAGGAAGTCCCGCCTAGCTACGGAAGCAATGTTGCGGCTACGCAGGAGTTTTTCAAACCTCACCGAAAATGTCTCGGGTCCCGGGTAGAGACAACCAATCAGACGAAAATTCTGCTTCTGAAGGATCATGTGATCCCGATTTGAGCGATAAATCAATTACTGTTTGGCGTTCAGGTCTTTGTAGTAAGTGTGAATGGTAAGCTAGCTACGTGTGTTTCCTGGAATTGTGCGGGTACTGAGAATTGTCCCTTTCGACGTCAAGTCCCGCGCAGCCGAAACATAATGTGATTGGGACTTAACCAAACGGAATTAGTGCCGCCTTGCCGAACTTACTATCTACCACGTGACGACCCCACAGAGCAAGGGCAGACAAGGCAGTACCAGTACGGTCCCTGTCGAGCCTTACTCTGTCCCGACAGCCCTCAGGCCTTCTGTCATGTCTGTTACAATGCGCCCGTGGTTGAGACTGCCTAGGTACAGATCCTAACCAGTACTTCCCAAGGATTCTTCCGAGTCAACTCCCGGGGGCAAACAGACTTCAATTCTTATTTATAGGGTTTTACTCGATCTGGAGCTAAATAATCCCACCAGATGTGAAGCGAATTATAGCTCGGTTTGAAGTAATTACAAGTAATGATAAGGTTTTATTTAATCAGAAAAGTTATCCGAGGAACACATACAAATGGATCGTGCCCACTAATATTTTAACCCTTTAAAAGCCAATTTTTTTTTCTAATATTCTTATGTTAAAATATTTTGGGGACTGAGATTGACTTTTAAAATAAATTCATTTAGCTTACTAACTACGATTAATTTGATTTTTAAGAATTTTTTTTTTGGTGGGAAGTATGTTTCCTACCGCCCGCTGGAAGCTATTCAAAGATAAGATATCTTAGTATTGCATTTCTTTTTATATCAAATTACATGATATTCATAATATATAATTTGTAAATACCATATAAGGTATTTCTCCCGCCTTCCTAGCGTGCCTTCGTGGTGTAGTGGTTCTGCACGCTGGGCCGGTATTCCAGAGGTCCGTGGTTCGATTCTCGGCGAAACTCTAGAGACATTAGGTAATTTTTGGAGACCGGAGAGATGAAAAATGAGCAAACGCCTTCGCCGGGGATCGAACCACGGACTTCTGGAATACCGTTCCAGAGTGCAGAACCACTACACCACGAAAGCACGCTAGGAAGGCGGGAGAAAAAGCTTATATCTAAAATTTTAAAAAGAAATTATAAATTAGATATAGTTTGTATTAAAAAATCATGGATCAGCAACATTTCTATTTTCCTTGATTGAAAATTCTTCATCTATTTCATCATCTGCATCTTTGTCTGAATCTTCAGAATGAGAAGGGAGGGCAAAAAATAATTCAGCAGCTTCCTCTGCTGTATATTTCGTCGGTTTTTTAATACATTTCCATGGCGAGTTCAAAAAATAATTTGAATACAACAAAAACTGGCAAATATTATTCAAAATTTTACCTTCTATTAAGAATCTTTATATATATAAGCGGCTAAAGTGTGTGTCGCCGATAGTTTATTGTTGCCACGCGGAAAAATTAGCGCGGAAATTAACGTTTCCGCAGTTTTTAATTAATATCTCGGCCGGTTAAAGCCGTACGTAGGTGAAAACGGTATCTTTGAATTCGGAGAATTTTTTGGAATCCGAGGATACGCGTCTCGAATTTCAACTCAGCGCCGTTCCGTAGATATTCGAGAAAAAAGAATTTGGCACGTAGTTAAATCCTTCTAATAGGGAAAACCCAAGAAAGAAAGCGGAAAATGTAGGGATAACGTAGGGGAAAATTAGTTTTTAATTAATATCTCGGCTAATTAAAGTCCCACAAAAAACGCGAAATGTCAAAATGGCGTGCCACGGATCTGCGGAATCCAACGGTGTGCTTCGCTAAGCCCGGAAGCCAGCAGTTTTGGAGGAGATGATGTTATTTCACCCCATATATATATATGCGGCTTAAGTGTCTGTTTGTCGCCGATAGTTTATTGGTTGCTTGCATAACTGTACCAACCAATGGGGTGAAATTGCCACGGCACAGGGTTGCCGTTTCAATTGAGACGTAGACAGTTTCCTTTAAAACTTGCCTTTGCTATGACCATCCATAAGTCTCAGGGCCAAACGCTCAAGCGTGCTGGCATTTTTTTACTTGAGCCTGCATTTGGACACGGTCAACTTTATGTTGCATGTTCAAGAGTTCGTGAAAGAACGGACGTAAAATTAAAATTAATGGATGGTCCTCTGCAAGGCGAGCCTAAAAGTGATGGAAAGATCTAACACAAGAAATGTTGTGTACAAAGAGATCTTTGGCATGTGAATTAAGATTTTATTATTTAAAATCACCTTTATTCATTGAGCTAGCGGTGGCTCTTTAAGAAATGTACTGCCAGTGGTTTCCTTCATTGCACTCTACTTTAAGCAATTAAGCAAGTAGAAGGGGGAAACCCCGTGGAGCAGTAAGCAAATGGGCGTCCTCACCGCCTGCCTTGGGTAATTCTGTATGAATCAGCAGACACCTTTGCGCAAATCATTTTAATTACAATTTATAATATCTAGAATAGCGGTCATTTCGTATGACCGCCGGGCTTCCTAGTTGTTCATAAACTTGAACTTCTGTGCTTATCAATAAAGTACAAGACAAAATGGCTCCCCAGTATAGGAGTCTCTTCTTGACGCCACGCTAACCTTCATTGTTACCCCCATTTATGGGAACAAAGCCCGTCATTGGTATTTTTGTATTTTCTGACGTTATTAACAGATGGCAGAACAGATCATAGGTGCGAAAAAAACTTTCCATTGACATTTAAAAATTCATGAAGTTGTTGGGAAGTATACTTCCCACAGCCATAGGATTAAAAACGATTGCTGAAAGCTAAAATTGAGCTGTATGCAGAACTTACCATTTTATTTCTGTTCCAATGATGAGGAGAACTTTGAGAGCTATTCTCTCATGCAGCATGCAATCTTCCACTGCGATTGCCACAATGAGACCACCGATGAACATCATGAAGCTTTCCTTTTAAAAAAATTAAAATAAATAAATAAAAACTAAAAAGCCAAAAAAAAAAATAGCTTCAAAATTCTTTCTTCGGAATGACATATTAAAGATAAAATCATACGGAATAGATGTTGACGTAAATCTTGCTTTTAATTTCACAAATACTCAAATATAGATGATGTTTTTCTCTTACGTATTTAAGGTATCAAAAGTAGCTGAATTTCAAATTTTAACTAAAAAAAAAATCTGTGCAGAATCGTAAATGAAGGGACAGTGCCCACGTCCGGGGTCACTTATCACTCAGTTCACTAGGTTCCTCGACATTTTATTGTTGGCGAAGTACTGAGGAACATTATAACCTTTTGCTTAAGTAAAAAATCTGATGTGTACACCACATGACTTCCTTGTACGGAATCTTAAATTATACGCATTTTTTTTATCTTAATCTGATTTGTATCGTAATCTTTTATAAATTTATTATTTTATACCTTAATCTTTTATTAAAAGATAATGATTTGTTTTTCAAATGCAGAGTATTTGTTTAATATTTTTCATTACGCATTAAAATGTAATAGTTTGGAAGTAATATGAGCAAGCGAAAGAGGCGAACGTAAAAATTAAAATTAAAATTAGTGGCAAGTTAGCTCTCTATTAATCTTCGTTTTGTTCAAAACGCTCTGTTCATTGCCATGCTTTTCTTCTTTAAATTCTGTCTTGGGTTATTACCATGAAAGCTTTCTTTTTGGGCAGATAATTTCGCGTATTTTGTTATTAAGAACTAATAAAAGACCTTGTAAGGTGTATTTTAATTTTATAACAGTTATTTTTAATTCTGAAACGCTTTCTCTCAATTCTTGTTTCCCACTTACAACTCCCTGCCAGAATGAGTTTTTAGAATCGCGGTGAATGCAAATGTATAGGAGTAGTACTTAAAGGAAATTCTACATACTTAGAGAAAGAGAGTGCTTAGGAGTAGTTAGTGGCACGTGTTTGCCTTCTGGCTTTTTCATTCTTGAATTTATTACGCTCGGCCGTATTATACCTGCCTGTAAATAATCGCTGGCTAGTTTAAATTAAGGGCCAAGTGTGTTAAGATAATCGTGTCTATCTTTGGCTAAGTCTGTTTTATTTAGCATTAGATTAGTTTCTTATTTTCTTATCCTGATTTAAAACCCCGAGTGTAGGCTTTCCTGTAAGCCGGAGAAAGGGCTAGCTGTAATTTTCTTGAGTGAATAAAAGGTATTTTAACCCTTCTCGAGTCTACGCTGTCTACTTGAACTGAGCGATTAGTCCCTACTTAGTTCACTTCGGTAGGACTGACCTCTGGATGAATCCGGCGCTGGGATTGGACGCACGGTGCGAGACTCCTGTGAGGCTCCACTCAAGCCATCTCTAGATAAGGGTGGACGTGGTGCTGTACTGATTAACCGCTACGGTAAAATGACAGTGCCCACGTCCACCGTCACTTATCACTTACTTAGTTCACTAGGTTCCTCGACATTTTATTGTTGACAAAGTACTGAGGAACATTATAACCTTTTGCTTAAGAAAAAAATGTATATACATTCAGCTTTTTTTTCCAGGTTTTGCTGTTTGAACATGAAAGTTTTGCGTCAGCCTTCGTCGATATGTATTGAATAAAATTAGCATCATCATACAGTTGAATTTTATCTTTATTTTAACAATCAAAACAAAAATTAATAAATAAAATTTCAGTAAAACACTGGAATTTAATATATATGTTACGGTGAAACACCGAAATCTGGAGAATGTCGACTTTCACCGGTGAATGTCAACATTCACATAGTCTCTTGGTGTATGTCCGAAATATTTTCCACATAGTCTTATTTCTGACTTACACTGGTCAAAGTCGACATTCACCATGTACTTAGTGAATGTTGAACATATAAGAATATTATATTTTCTTCTGCGTCATTCAGTCGCGAATAAACGCAATTGAGACTTGAAATAAGAACTTAAGAACATGAGAACCTAAAACACACAATACATTCAAAATAAGAAATGAAAATAATAGAAGTTAAAAACTTACTTAATTATACAGTACGTTCTAAATGCGAAAATAAAATAACAGTAATAAAAAACTTACTAAATTATGTGATTCGAATCTTATTCATTGCAACAACTTAAACTATTATGGCACTTTATAACCTCTCTTTTCCACTTTCACCAGAGCATATCTGTGATTGTCGACATACACCGGTGAGGGTCCGAATATACAAGAATGTAGGGCAATATTCGATCTTTCACCGACGTATTTGGTGAATGTCGACATTCTCCAGTTTCGGGCTTTCACGGTAACATATATATATATTAATTATTAATACCAGTTACTCGTATTGAATTCTTTCTTGAATTTTAAATACAATTTTAACTGTTAATTTTAGAAAAATGTCTGGTTCATAACACAGTTTTATAATTTAGAGATATTTAACCTGCCAGAAATCAAAAGATTGTCAAGCATATTTTACTACAGTATAAAGAATATTTTGCCAACACATTGCAATTCCGATTCTCTGTAGTATTTTATCTTATGATGTTCTTCAGTAGGTCAAAAAGACTGTTAAATGTAAATAAAATTCGAGCAAGTCAAAGGGTAAATCTAGATGACGTCTTACATTTCTACACGAGTCCATGCAGAAAATCAAAAACAGATAGAAGCAAAGATAAGAACAAAAACAGTGATTTCCTCAAGTTGGATGAAAATCACGAGACGTGTTGTGTTAGTAACCCAAAGACAATCTTAGGTCTTCATATTTTTCAAACTATAGAATAAATATTAACTTCTTTGCATAACTTTCCTTTCTTTGTAAACTATACATCGATTTATTGAACATTTCATTAGAAAGAAATGTACTTTGCAGGCAAATACTTGCATATTGAAAATGATATTCAGATCTCAAAATAGAAATGATTTAAATCTGCAATAATTACGTTCTAATTTTTTAATTCTTTACTACGACCTAAGGCATTTAATAAATTCTAATATGTTCAAAACTCTGTGACAAAATTTGCTTTCGGTTCAAATCCGATGCTCAACGTATACTACGTATTTGAAGTCAAGTAAATAGGAAAATAAGAAAGTAATTTTATACGAGGGTGGATCTAAAAACGTTTACAAGGATTGTAGAGATATTAGGATTTTTTGGAAGCCAGAGAGATGAAAAATTAGCAACCGCCTTCGCCGGGAATCGAACCACGGACCTCTGGAATATCGGCCCAGCGTGCTACCGTTACACCCCGAAGGCACGCTAGGAAAGTGGGAGAAATACCTTATATACTCCCCTTTTTAAAGGGCGACTAGGGTTTTAGGGGACCTAGTCGCCAAATCCTGGGTGTGGAGAATCATCATCCAGAACCCTTTTAGTTCGGGCGCCACTGTAGAGACATTAGGTTAATTGGAAAAGCTGGAGAGATGAAAAATATGCAACCACCTTCGCCGGGAATCGAACCACGGACCTCTGGAATACCGGCCCTACGTGCTACCGTTACACCGCGAAGGCACGCTAGGGAAGTGGGAGAAATATACCTTTTATACTCCCCTTCTTAAAGGGCGACTAGGGTTTTAGGGAGCCTAGTCGCCAAATCCTGGATGTGGAGAATCATCATCCACAAGTTCTTTTAGTTCGGGCGCCACTGTAGAGACATTAGGATTTTTTGGAAGCCAGAGAGATGAAAAATTAGCAACCGCTTTCGCCGGGAATGGAACCACGGACCTCTGGAATACCGGCCCAGCGTGCTACCGCTACACCACGAATGCACGCTAGGAAAGTGGGAGAAATACCTTGTAGGGTAATAAAAAATTGTTTATTAATAATAGACAGAAAATACAAAAAGGAATTAATAGGCACACTTGCCTATAATTTTTTTCACATAATTTTATTTATTTTACAAATGCGAAACATTAGCGCTTAGGCCGTTAGTTACTGGCGCTTTAGTGCTTTTTAACAATGCCCTCATACCGAGAAAGTGCAATACAATTATTTAAATGTTCAAAAACCATAGGTTTATTGGAATCACACAAAATACAGTTTGGGGAATCCACCACTCCAATTCTGTAGAGGTGGTATCCCAAACAGTCATGCTCGGTCAGACATCTAAATTGAGCTAACACGCTTTCTTGAAAAACTGGGAATGAAAGTTGTCTCTTCCCAAAGAATCCTCCATCTCTTATCCGCAGCAACTTTGAATCATGTCCTATTGAAGAATTTTCTTAAGAGTCGAGTTAATAAACAATTTAGACGTATGACATGAAAGCGGTCGATTAATGCGTAGCATTTTCTTAGCCAAAGTATCAGCTTTTTCATTTCCCATAATTCCAGAGTAGGGTAGAATCCACTGGAAAGAAATTCTGTGTGTCATTGCCTTAAGCAAAGGCCTACAGTCTAAGATTCTTTGAGAACTATTTTGATTACTCAGAACAGCTTGAAACGCACGTTTGGAATCTGGCAATATGACGGTCTTTACAAAAGTGTTTTTCACATAATCACCAAATCTGTTTAGGCATCTATTTGAGCGCAAGACCCAACTTGTTTAATCCGGCTTTGTAGAAATCGCGTCTCTACCCGCTGAACCAGTTCTCTGTAGTTCTTTTCACATCACTGACTGAAGAGAACCTCATTCCAGATAAATGTTCGAGAAAAGAAAATATTCACTGGGTGCTAAACCTGGGCTATATGGGTGCGGGGGTTACTCCAGATTCGCCACTTAACCTTTTGAAGACGGGATGGCCATTATAGTGGTCATAGAATCCTCTCTTTGAAAAGAAGGGGTCGTCCACTTTAGTGGCCATGTCTTTTCCCCCCCATTTTCCAGGCTGAAAAGTGGGGGTGAAATGTCAAATTTGACGTCCCTGGGGTTTTAACCACTTACCTCTTTCAAAGGTGTTCCTTTTGCGACATAGATGCACCCGTCTGAGAATCCATTAAACTACACACAAGAATCTTTGTTGCAAATAGGAGGTGATTTTTTAAAGGGGGGAAACAGTGGAAACTATTCGG